CCCGCCTCCCCCCTCCGCCGACCGCCGTCTGTGTGCGCAGCCCGCCATCCCCAGCGAGATGGAGCCTCGGACGGAAGCGCAGAGCCGACGGCAGGCGCCGGCAGCCCGAGGACGACGAAGAGGGAGAGCGCCGGGGCGCCGACCACAGGCCTGAGAGGTCCGGACACGGGGGGTCTGGAGGGGCACGGTGGGACCCTTGAAACGGCTGTGGGATTTGGGGACCTTATCACTCTGCCGTTTTCACAAGATGCCAGGATGAGTCAGATAGGCGAGTCCTGCGTCTCCTTTATATGTGCTGAGCCCCCTGGATCCGGTGCCTTCTTGGCTGGTTACACTGCAAGGGTGAGGTGATGGAAGGCTCTGGAAGCTCTTCTCAGTGATAGGTATCAATAAAACTGGTGTCAACTGGAGTCGGTCATTAGTGAGTCCTTGTTATGCTTCAGGGAGTGTCACGGACTACCGTGAACTTCTCAGAAGGTTTCAACAAAACAACGGAATCTTTTTTTTTTTTCTTGTGGGGGGCTGGCGGGTACAGGGATCCGAACCCTTAACCTTGATGTTACCAACACCTCACTCTGACCAGTTGATCTAACCAGGCAGCCTGGATGTCATTTTTTATATTACCTCTAAACAGTCAATTTAAAAAAACAACAAAAAAAAGAGTCAGTTTAGAGAAGTTAGATGTTATACCAGAGTCACAAAAGACATTAAGTGAAAGCCAGGATGCAAATCAAGATTGAAGCTCCAGATTCCTCTTTCTGTCCTGAGCTAGTGCTACTGAGGTGGTTCCTGTTTGGTGAGTCTTAGTTGCAGCATTTACTTACTTGAGCATTTTCTAGATTAGAGAGTGTGCTGGGAAGGTCCAGACATGAGCTGAACAGGTTTCCAGTCTTGTGCTTATAGCTTGATGTGGGTGGGACAGCAAATCAAGATGGTTCGCACTGAAGAGGAATACCTGAAGAAGATAATAAGCAGGAGTGTTGGTGGTGCGGGCTGTTCAGGGCCTGTGGTCAGGGAAGGTCTCTCTTAGGGGTGAGATGGGAGGTGATCCCTGTGAGGATCTCCGTGCCAAGGCCCTCAGGTGGGGATGTGTGTGATCTGTTTGAGAACTGACGGGAGGAGGACAAGGGCAGGAGGCTACTGCTAAGTTCAGGTGGAAGGGCGCGGTGACTTGGCCAAAATAAAGCAGTGAGGACAGAGGAAAATGTGTAGCTCAGGACAGACTTGAAGGCAGGACCTGTAAGGCTTGCTGCTGGTAGGTTGGGGACAGGAGGAAAGAGGTAGTTAAGAATAACTGAAGCCTTTTGGCCTGAACACCTGTGTTGATTGTGGAGCCATTTGCCAAGATGAAGAGAACGGGGGCAGAACAGACCTGGCATGGGGAGAGAGTCAGTGGTTGGGCTTAAGAAGCTTCTTAGACTAGCAAGGGAGGAGGATGTTAAGGTAATTGGATCTGGGGGTATGAATTGGAAGCCACTGTCAATTATCAGCACAGACATGATGTTTAAAGATTTGGGACTGGGGGTGTGAGTATAGGAGAAGCTCTAGGACAGTCTTAGGGCTAGATATGAAGGGAAGGTAATAATGAAACTATCTTTGAGATCAAGGTCTGAACCCTCCAATGGTATCTTTTAACTGAAAATAAAATGTTTAAATCCTTCTAATGCTGTAAAAGGCCTTGTATCTGGGCTGGTATCACTCCAGTTCACTGGTTATTCCTCCATCACGGCAAGAATGCTTCTGCACTAGGGTCTTTGCACTTGTTATTTGCTGTATGTGGAGAAGGCCTGGGCGCACTACAAGTAGATCCAGCTACATCTCCATATAGGATGGTGGGATGCATTGATGGGGCAGGGTGAGAAGTGGTTCCTCTGGAAGGAGTTATGTAAAGTAGGCTTTGTTGTCCCAAGATAGGATAGATGGTGAATATAATTTGCCTAATCTAAGGAGTAGACTTTAACTCCAAGAAAGATACCAACATAAGAGATGTAGCAGAAGATCATTTATATGTACCCTTTAAATTATTCGTGAATCAGTTCAGGAATCTGTCATGGCTGGGAGACCCAGACCTGGATCTCTTGAAACACGAGTGAGGATGTTGGTATCCAACCCTGGACAAGCAGTTCTGCTCGGTATCTGTGACACAATTATTGAGTCAATTTAACTTTCAGTTAATTACCTGATTTGATTTCAGACTTTCCAGCCATCATTAGAATTTGGAAATTCACTTTTAGAAATCCAATTTAAGTTTCTTTGGGTGGTGTGACTATGAGGGAAGAAATGATAATTACAGGGCCGGCCCGTGGCTCACTCGGGAGAGTGTGGTGCTGATAACACCAAGGCCCCGGGTTCGGATCCCATATAGGGATGGCCGGTTCGCTCACTGGCTGAGCGTGGTGCTGACAACACCAAGTCAAGGGTTGAGATCCCCTTACCGGTCATCTTTTAAAAAAAAAAAAAAAAAAAAAAAAAAAAATGATAATTACATAAAGGGATTATTCATTGGTTATTGCAGTTCCATTTTCAAAGCACACAGTTGGGTTTGCAGCTAGAATATATGAGGTTGCTTATTTGTTGTAGTTGAAGTTAAGTGTTTATTTCTGATATATCAGTGGTGGCCAGTAGGAAAATGGGGTGGGAAAGTAAAATGTATATTTACACCTAACAATATATGTTGACAGAAATTCCAACTCCAGAATTTTTGTCAAGCCTTAAGCTTTCGATATGCCTTATCTTTTAAAGATTTCCTTGAACTTGAGACAGAACTGAGCTCCTGGATTAGGCCTAACTCAGTTGTAGGGGGTACCTTTAGCAGTAGACTAAGTCCTAATGCAGCAAGGACTGACACATAGACCCTCCTGCCCACATTTTAATTGTGTATGTAATATATTTTCAACCACTAATGATGTGCATCTAAAAGGTAAGTAGTAGCCACTTGTAAATTAGGTTCCTACTGTGTGGTGGGCACTGCTAAGCACTAAACGTGCGTTTTCTTTTTTTTTTTTTCCTTTTTATCTTTTTTACTGGCTGGTAACGGGATTGCAACCCTCGGTGTCGCGCCCGTACCGGGGACCCGCAACGGGATCGCAACCCTCAGTGTTGCGCCCGCGCCACGCTCAGCCAGTGAGTGGGAACCGGTCACCACATGGGATCCGAACCCTTGGCGCGAGCACTGCCGGCACTCGCAAGCAGCACACTCTCCAGTGCGCCACCGGGCCGGCCCTAAACGTGCATTTTCTGAAGTCTTTTTTAAATCCTGGAAAAAGAAAAAAATAGATTTTGAACAAGTTGTATTAGGTGCCCTTCTCAGTACTGACAATGCCTTGTTGACTGTTTCTGCCTTTCCCCTCAGTGGGCTGTGTCCCTGTGATTTAGCTGAAGATGGCACAAGGTGGGTGGACAGAAGTTGTTTAAGAAATAAAGCCCAGGGGCCGGCCCGGTGGCGCACTGCGCTAGTGCGCCGCTTGGGAAGCGTGGAGGCGCTC